ACGGGGGCCGTTTCAAACTCACCGGGGTCCGTCCTACCACAACCGGGGTCGTCCCTAACCTCACGGGGCCGTTTCAACCTCACCTGGGGTCGTTCCCTACCACACCGGAGCTGTTTCAACCTGACTGGGGTTGTCCCTACCTCACGGGGGATGTTTCAACCTCACCGGGGTCGTCCCTACCACACCGGGGCCGTTTCAACCCTGACCAGGGTCGTCCCTACCTCACGGGGGCCGTTTCAACCTGACCGGGGTTGTGCCTACCACACCGGGGCCGTTTCGACCTGACTGGGGTCGTCCCTACCTCACGGGGGCCGTTTCAACCTCACCGGGGTCGTCCCTACCACACCGGGGCCGTTTCGACCTGACTGGGGTCGTCCCTACCTCACGGGGGCCGTTTCAACCTCACCAGGGTTGTCCCTACCACACCGGGGCTGTTTCAACCTGACTGGGGTTGTCCCTACCACACCGGGGCCGTTACGACCTGACTGGGGTCGTCCCTACCTCACGGGGGCTGTTTCAACCTCACCGGGGTCGTCCCTACCACACCGGGGAGCCAGCCAAATTGAAGTCTTTTTATTATTTCAGGTCTGGAGAGAAAATCACTGTCACACCCTCGTCTAAAGAGCTGCTCTTTTATCCCCCTTCCATGGAAGCCACCGTCAGTGGAGGTAGATGTCACCTCAGTGAGCCAGTGACACACCTTTGCAGTCGTTTCTTTGCTGCATTGAAACATTTATTCTGTGTTGTTGTTACAGAGAGAGCATCTTTGTAAGGCACATAGATGTTACTATTTGATGAAGGAATGAGTGAATGAATGAAATCAGTAAGAGTAACTTTTGCTGTCAGAAAGGGGAGATCTTTTTTGGAACAGGACTTGGTTTTTCTTGACATTACCAGGTTGACAGCAGAGGTCCGTGAAAAGCAAAATCATCAGTTGTGGAACATTAGTTAATCCTGTATCTGAACTGTTCTTGCTGTTTAGGGCCCTTCTTTATTGGTAACTAGAGGCCCAGTGCATGTCATTTGTGCACTGGGTGGGTGGAGGGGGCCCCTCAGCCTGGGCCTGCACCCTCTCGCAGTCCGGGACCCTGTGGGGAGCGGGCCTAAGCTGGCAGTTGGACATCTCCCAAGGTGTTCTTAGCACTGCTGACCGCTGCGCTCACCAGCTGGGAGCCCAGCTTCTGGCTGAGCATCTGCCCCCTGGTGGTCAGTGCGCATCATAGCGACCGGTCATTCCACCGTTCGGTCAATTTGCATATTAGCCTTTTATTATATAGGATTAGAAGTAATTGCTTACTGAATATTTGCCTTTTGGCTACTGATAGCTTTTTATAGCATCATGGGTTCATTCAATACCGGGCATTTATGTGGCTTGTGTTTGGAAGTAGAGTTTGAAGAGCCCGCCTTTCCACGGGCAACCTGTCTGGGGTGGCCTTCCGTGTTGGGACCTCTGAGGTCAAGCAGCGCAACTCTTATCTGCTGTAAAGGCATCTCTCCCTGGTGGGCTGGTGAGAACCGAGAGAGAGGAGTCGTGAAACTTCGGCCTGCGTTAGGTTTACCTGTTAACGTTGTTGGCAGTTAAATAAGGCCTTTCCAGGATGGAGAGAGGCTTGGGCCACTTTTCCTTATTGAAGTTTCTGGAACATTAAACAACCTCATTTGGAGGTTAGCTTCAGATACCTCAGTTTTAGGCCCTTCTTATTGGGAAGTTCCCCACCAGAAGGCTCCCTTCCTCTGCAGCTCGGTCGTATTCTTCTGTTTACCTCTGCCCTTTCAGAAAGCTGCCCAGGGAAGCTGATCGAGATCCATGGGAAAGCAGGCTTATTCCTGGAAGGCCAGATCCACCCAGAGTTGGAAGGAGTCGAGATTGTCATCAGTGAAAAGGGGGCAAGTTCACCCCTCATCACAGTCTTTACTGATGACAAAGGTGCCTACAGGTAAGCCGGGATTAGGAAACATTTGCTTGGGGCCAGCTGGGGAGCCGGGATTTCCTGTGGTGAGGCGAGGCCGTCTCTGCATTGCTCTCTTTCTTCAGTGTCGGGCCCCTGCACAGTGACCTGGAGTACACCGTGTCCTCACAGAAGGAGGGCTACGTCTTGACTGCGGTGGAAGGAACCATAGGAGATTTTAAAGCGTATGCCTTGGCAGGCGTAAGCTTTGAGGTAACACTGTATGTTTTTAAAAAGCAGTTTTATTGAGGTATAATTGACATACAATACACTGCACATAAGTGTATAATATGATATATCGCCAACATAGTCTCGACATAAGAACACACCCATGAAAACACCACCAAACACCCCCCAGTTTCCTTGTACCACTTGGTAATCCATCCCTCCCATCCCACCCCACTGATCTGATCTGCTTTCTATCACTGTGAATTAGTTTGCAGCTTCTAAAGTTTTATACAAATGGAATCATACAGGGTGGCCTCTTGGTCTGGATTTTTTCACTCAGCATAATTTGGAGATCTGTGACTTAAACTCGTTTGGGAAGTGTTCCAAGCTTTCCCCCTCCGCTGTTCTGTGTCAGAGGACGCAGGGTGCTCCTGCAGTGGTGTTTGATGTCTTTCTCTCTTCCCTCCGTCCTTCTTGGGAGGGAGATGCTGTGAGATGTCCGAGTAGGAATATTTTCAAAATGGAGGACGAAGGAAAAGAACGGCAGATCATCTCACATAAAAAATGAAAATCCTGTATTGCAGATTACATCTTAAACTAAATTGAAAGATATTTAAACTGGGAAGAAATATTTATACCATAAATAATATCCCCAGTTTACAAGGAACTTCTTAAATTGATAAGAAAAAACTCAATAGAGAGAACAAAGGATACGAAAAGGCAATTTACAGAAGTAATACAAGTGAATAATAAACATAGAAGAAATGCTCAATTTTGGTAGTGACTGAGGAAATGCAAAGGAAGTTACCATCGAAGCACTGGGTTTTGGGTTAGATTTGCAATAATTAGGACCATATCCATGTTTTGGAGAGCGTGTATTTTTCCATGCATGGATGATTTATGGAGCATGCATGGCTATAGCCACTTGAGAGTTCAATTTGGTGGTATCTTTCTGAATTTAAAGTGCACATACCCAACAATTCTACTCCTAGGAATGGATTATTCAGAAAAAGAGAAAAACCTAAGTGCACAAAGATAAGCATGTTTGGGGATCTTTAGATTGTCTCTCCTTTTCCACCACAAGACAGTTTACTGGCCTCTGCATCTGAATGCTATTCCACTGTTAAGCAGTGAGGCAGATCTCTGGGCTGATAGAAGAGGAAAGGCAGGGTCCGAGGTTGAGGGCAGAAAGCACGTATAGTGTGTAAGCATGCCATTTTTCTTTTAATCCTCACCTGAGGATATTTTTTCCATTGATTTCTAGAGAAAATGGAAGGGAGGGTGAGAGAGATGGAAGGGAGGAAGCATGGGGAGAGAGAGAGAAACATCGATGTGAGAGAGACGCATTGATTGGTTGCCTCCCACACACCCTCCCCCCTCCCCACACTCCCTTTCCCCCTCTCCGCCACCGGGCTGGAGAACCTGCAACCGAAGTATCAAACCCACAACCCTTCATTCCGTTGGCTGATGCTGTAATAACCACTGAGCAAAAACCGGCCAGGGCAAGCATGCCATTTTTGTCTCAAACCCCCTCCCCCAGTAAACTTGCCAGTCCGTCAACAATAGCCATAATGTTTATAAGCTTTTGTGGGCATCGAAACAGTTCCTGAGGAGTACACACCAAGCTATTAACATCAGTTACCCCTGGGGACCAGGAACAGACATTCTGTTCCCCCAACAAATAACAAAAGAAAAACAACCCATAAGAATTGCCTCTTGACTTGTGAACTCTTGTCTGCATGGTTACTATGGGTTCACCTTGCTGTGGTTCCTTTTTCGCCCCCAGATAAAAGCTGAAGATGACCAGCCCCTCCCTGGGGTCCTCCTGTCCCTCAGTGGAGGAGTGTTTCGTTCCAACCTCTTGACTCAGGACAATGGCATCCTGACTTTCTCAAACCTGGTAAGATGTCCTGTAACTTATCGCCAGCCTGTCTTCCGCACGAGGAAGCAGGGATGCAGTGTGTTACTTACATACCGCTGGACAACGTGAGAACAACACCAGCGTGGAGTGTTTGAAGTTTCTCAGGGGAGCAAATGTAATTAGAGTATTGCTCTTATTAGAGTTTAGTGCGGCTGATTCATGTTCCCTTCTGCGCACACTTCTTGTTTTCTGGTCACCCAGCTGTCACAAAGACAGTGTAATTAATGACCCTGGCCACAGCCATTCCTGTCTTAGGCGGCCCTTTGTTTTACCAAGGATCCCGTTGTTTATAATGCCGAGTCTTATTCAGCAGCTAGCTTGTGTTTCTTCTGCAAAGTGCACTCCCCATGCTGTGAAGATAGCACCAATTTTTCATTCCAGATGTAGCCTGAGCCCTTGGCTGGTGGGGACTTAGGAAGTGTGCGTGAATTGGCCATCTTGTCAGTCCTGGGAATAAAGTGATTGTTACAGGGGTGTCACAAGCAGGCAGTGAGGTGTATCCGGAAGGTCATACGCTGTGTGGTGATGCATACCCGGGTTCAAATCTTCCCTCTGCTCCTTACTTGCTGTGTCATCTTGGGCAAGTTACTTGACCTCTGAGCCCCAGTTTCTTCATTCCTAAAATGCAAAGGACTGCTACCTCCACAGTTACTGAAGGCACATGGTAATGACAGCTGCTGTTGTTAGAACTGTAATTGCCGTTACCATAACTGTTTATGGTAGAGTTACTGGTACCATTTCTGTCTGTCCAGGAAGCCCTGGGTTCTTGTGGCATAGTTCTGGTCCATCATGACTTAGTCACCCCCTTTTAAGCCCGGCCCAGAGGCTCAGTTGTGGTTGTCTTTTGGCAGAGCCCTGGCCAGTATTACTTCAAGCCCATGATGAAAGAATTCCGGTTTGAGCCATCCTCCCAAATGATTGAGGTGCAGGAAGGGCAGAACTTAAAGATCACCATCACCGGGTACCGCACGGCCTACAGGTGAGCAACCCCTGCCCACTTCCCTCTCATCCAGGCCTGGCTGTGGGATCACCCTCAAACTGCCATCATCTGGACGCTCATTCCAGCCATCACGTGGACTAAATTTGGGAGCCAAGGGACATGGGATATGGGTCCAAGACTTTTGATTGCCACCCTTCCCTTTTAATATTTCAAACTAGTGGTTCAGCCACAAAGTTCCTATTTTGAAATTGGCCTGTGAAAGCCTATCTGGTTGCTTTAAAATTTTTAAAGGAGGAATGCATTCACTTGAGTAAAACATCAAAATGTTGAAAAGAATACACAATGTAAAATTTTCCTTCTATTCTTGTCTCCCAGCTACCTCAGTTTTCCGGTGTTTTTAAATACTTCCAGTGATGGTTTTTTGCAAATATGTGTGTGTGTGTGAGTGTGTGTGTGTATTTACACACACACACATACACACACACAAAGGTATTTATATACACTTAAAAAAGCACTTGAACATTGATTAATCAGAAACAGTGGGTTCAGAAAAATGGGGTCATTTTCAACAATGAAATAAAAGAGAAAATGATTTATTTTCCTTTCATTGAATACTTTGCTATTTAGAATAAATCCTAATAAAAATAAAATAAAATAAAATAAAATAAAATAAAATGGAATAAAATAAAGCTTAGCCTTTTTAGCTTACAATTTTCTGGAGTGTCCCTTAGGATGTATGAGAAGAGATACTGATGGTATCCTGGCTGGATTGGCAGGTGACACAGTGAGATCGAAGGGCCTGTGGCCTTAGAGCACAATTCTCCATTGAGCTGTTTTGCACTGTAAATTGTTGGTAAATGCAGGACACTTTGAGTTTCTTTGTGTGCTTCAGAAAATCACAAGAATATCACATTCCTTGTCTTCTCTTGTCACTCTAGTTGCTATGGCACAGTTTCTTCTTTAAACGGAGAGCCGGAGCAGGGGGTTGCCGTGGAGGCGGTGGGACAGAGCGACTGTAGTATTTATGGGGAGGACACCGTGACGGATGAAGAGGGGAAGTTCAGATTACGTGGATTGCTGGTGAGACTTTGAGCATGCTTTATTAGGGGATTTTTCATACAGTGTTTGGAGGTATCTTGTAGAACCTCCAAAATTGATAGGATTGGGCCAGGCCAGAGGGCTGGGGAGGTGGGTATGGTTCTGGAACCCTCTCAAGTTTTTTCTTAACTGACACATCTTGCCTTTTAACTAGCTGACATATTGATTGGTTTGGGGTTTTGTATCGAAGTAAATTTGGAAACCCATGGATTTGGTATAGAATTGAGGGTTTTGCCTAGAATTGGGTGGTTATGGCTTAGGCCAGGGCTCTCAAATCAAAGGCCTGTGGGGCCCATAGAGAGGTGCAGATGGCTGAAGGAGGCTGGGTGTAGAGGAGGGAGTGAAGAGGACTGGGGAACTGGAGAGGGCGTGGCCCATGTAAAGGGAGAAGCTACATCCCAGCTCTGGCTTGTTATGGCCATGTGGAAGACACACTGAGGGCAGCCACAGAGTTTGAATTTTTAAAAGAGAAGTCAGAAATTCAGATTTCCATGTGAACATTCCTGACTTTTCTATGTAAACAATTAATTAAAAAAACAACACACCCATAACTTCTTTGTGTGAGCCAGACAACCATCTTATTTGTCCTTTTGGCTGCTAAGTAGCAAATTTGGTTTAGGATTTATGGCACTTTTTTTTCTCAGTTTTTGTTTGTTCATTCATTCCCATGCTCATTCAGCAGACGCTGAGTGTAAACTGTAGGAGTCACAGAGTGTGTGGGTTAGACGGCACCCACTGGACTGGGCCGCTTGGATTTGGAGTTGGGTCCCCAGCCTTTCAGACTCACAAACTATATTCTTAACCCCAGAGATGGCCTCACGTATCTCAGCAACAAACTAATGTTAGCCCAAATCACGTGAGCTGAGATGCAAATCACTTCGCCAGTTTACTTAGATACATTGAGGCACTGCTGTTCTTCCCCAAAGACAAGAATACTCATGTCCAATGTCCAGGGCACCCCCATTCTCAGATACTGGGGTACCTGGAAGTCAGGTCGGAAGCCAGGGGAAAGATACCTATCTTTTTTTTAAATAAGTGTGTAAGGAAAAAGT